TGTTATCCCTGCTGCCTGTCAACAGGTGCCGGTCCTGGTTAACAGTGGCTGTGCTGTGATTGCGGCCATAACACCTCACTGGTTACCCTCTTTCATGGCTCCAGTTCTGATAGCACTGCTTCAACATTTCCCACTGTTGCTGCCCCCATTGTTTCAACAGCCCTTGCTGGGCCCCCGAAGCTGGGTCTCTGTGAGTAACTCCTTCACGGGGTGCTCTTGCTGAGGAAAATGCGGACAGCTGACGGAGTCCTCTGTCTTCTGCCAGGACCCTGACCCTGGAGATGAAACGGAGCCTGCCTGCCCCGCCTGCTCTGCTGTCTCTTCACATGGACTCCTCGGGGCTGAGCTGCTGACTCCATCTCACACCTCGTATCTCTTCCTCCCCTGGGTGCTTCCTCTTCCTTCTCGGGCACCTTCAACCTCCCAAAACCTTTATTTTTTTTTTTTAATTAACAAAGGGTGCATGTGCTTGCCAGAGAGAGGCAGAGAGAGTGGGAGAAAGTACCCCCCTCAGTGGGGTGTGGTCACTCTGCATTCCCTTCTCCTCCATTTCCCCATCCTGTCAGGATTTCGGGCACATACGCACACACTCCCAGTGTGTTTTTCAAGCCATTGAGTCAGGGATTCAAACCATGGCCAGCCATGTGGGATCTGGCTCCTTTAACCATACAGCACAGAGCCAGCTGTAAACCATCTTTAATCTCATGGCTAATAAAGACCCAGTTTTTACCTGCTCCTTTATTCCCTCTGTGCTCACCCCAAGAGCTGAGACAGATGGATGATCTGTCACAAGTAAGTTGACACCCTGGACACACGTGGGGGGGCAGGCAGAGGCATGCTCACAGCAGCTGCCAGGCCCTCTGGCTCGCCAGCCTTTCACCCACCCCTGAGGCTTCATCCAGGAGTCCCGCCTGGAACCTGGAACTGACCAGGGCCACTCGCATGGAACGAGAAGAGGAAAGCGTCCAACAAGGAGAGAGGAGAGGGCAGCGTTTACTCTGAGACCGAGTTCTCTTTAGACCTTTGTCCTTCTTTCCCCACCATATGCTCCCTTTGGCTGGGAGCTCTAAACCATGGGTCGATACTGTCTGCAGCTCAAGGCCGAGTTTGCACAAAAGCCACGTGCCCTTTGGGGAACGTGATGTCTGTGTTTGTTCAGTTTATGACCCTCTCCTACCAGGGTAAGAGGTCCTGGGACGGAGCCCCTCGAGGAGGAGGTCCTGGGAACTGTGGATCTGAGCTGTGGGGCTTCCTGAGCAGCCTGCGGAAGTTCTCCCACCTTTACCCGAGGAGACCTGCATCTAAGGAGAATCCGAGAAGTCTTCTGCTGTCACTCCCTCTTCCTTCCATGGGTGCCTGAACACCCACATGCCTTTCCCAGATCTAACCTCCTTTCTTCCACCTAAGGCTCAGTCCCTGGGGCCAAACCTGGGGTCTGGTGAAGTGAGGCACTCACCTTGGGAATGGCAAATTTTAAGGGAGTGGCAAAAGCAAACAAACTTGTCAATAAACGATACTTTAATAAGACCTTATTTTTAAAAATTAGTGCAAAAAAACTGTGATGAACAAAACAGCATATTTTAAAATAAACCCAGGAGCGGTATTATTCCTTCTTGTTTGCCTCCACCTTCTGTAAAAAGGGGAGAGACTATGTCTCTTCTTCCAAACATTTCCTTCCAGAGCCTCGCAGTCCCTACCTCTGGACTCCTTCCGGCTTTTTCCATGTGGGCAAGATAACCACACCCACTTCTTCCACTTCCTTACCCACCTCCAAGCCCATCACTCCCCCAGCCCCCAGCCAGGTTGGTGGTAGGGCAGGCAGTGAGGCAGATGGCTGGGGTATTTATAACCCGGGAGCACTTCTTGGGAAAAGTGACTAAGATGCTAAGAGCATATTTATAGCTGAGTTCTGACGTAAGTGTCAGTGGGGAGGTAGGGCCAGGCCAGGCGCAGCAGCAAGGAGATGGGAAGAGCAGGAAATTGGGGGCACCTGACAGGGGTGGGGTGGTGCGGGGAGAGGTGGGGTCAGTCATTCCTTCAGCCACTTCTTACTGCGTCCCCTGACTCTCCTGGCACCAACAGGGAAGCCCTCGGAGGCACTGCCATGGGCAGACATGCCACTTAGCAGTCAGATGTTTCAGACTCCTGGGGTAGACGGCTGTCACTCACCAGCCCAGATCAACAGAGAGAGGGCCGGGAGCCGGGGAGAGCCCTGGACAGAAGGCTTGAATACGGTTCCGGTTCCGTGCCTGGGGAGAAACGCAGGCTGGACAGGAGAGTCTGAGAGTCTTGTCCTTTCTCCCTTCTCCCCACCCCCTGGTGTCGTAAGTCCCTAGGAAGAGCCTGGCGCCCACATTGCCACGTGTCAGTGTGATAAGGTCCAAAACCAAAGGTGTCAGTGATGTGCTCCTAGGGACAGTCCCCGCTCCCTGGCCGTGGCAAGGGAGAAAAAGCAGGGGAAACTGAGGACACCGCTTCCCTATGTCTCCTGTCAGGGAGGACAGCAACCCAGAGGGACTCATGGAGGAGCATTCCCCCTTTCTCCATTGCCCTGGGCAGCCCAGTCCCTGTCCCTGGGAAGCTCTGGTTAGCGATGAGCCAGCAGCTGTCCAGTGGCACGGCACTGCCACATGGTGGACATTGGTGGTACTGAGACCCATTCCTCAAGGCGTGGTCCCGCCCTCTCTCCCTGGTGCCAGCTCTGTCTCTCTTAAAAGCCGCCACCGGCTAAATAGAGGGGAGATGAATGAAGTGGAGAAGAGACACATTGCCAACTCATACCCACCACCCCGTGCCCAGCCAGCCTCCCCGCTAAGCTTTTGGAAGGATTTGGGGCGCAAAGGCCTACTTGGCATAGACCCACTCTCATGAGTTCAAGGTGGAAGGACTTTCAGCTCCCACTACGGTCAGTGAGGAAGCCGAGGAAGGAGGGCTGGGATGGGAATGAGCGCAGTCGCTGCACTCCCCTTGGTTTGGTCTCAGGCCTCGGACCTCCCATGTCCTAACCTGATCACCGAGGCCTGCCACCACTCCTAAGATGCCTCGATGTAGGCATTGCTCGCAGAGCCCTGGATGGGAAGTGGCGTGCCATCCTGCCAACCTTGATGGACTCTGCACTGCTGCAAGGTTGCATCACCACACCTCACCTCTCTGGGCTTCCCCAGACATGGCAGTAACATGGCCCCCCTCGCTCTGGCCCTTTTCCACTCTGTGCTCCAGTCCAACTGGACTCTGGGCGGCCAGCATAGGCAGGGTCAAGGGGGTGACTACTGTGCCCCGTGGCACTGCCACCTTGGCCTGAGCAAGGGACTCTGTTCCCTGAACCCCTCACCCCTATTCCAACTCCACAGCTAGAAATAGAGCCAGAATTCTGGCCCAGAGGCCCCAGAGAAATAACCCCTGGAATGCACAGCTGCCTCACGGCAACTACTGCAGCAGTGGTGGCCAGGCCAGCTAGATACTGCAGGGGCTGGGGCAGAGTGCCCTTCCCCACCTGGCTCATAGAGTTCCCTCCCCCGAGTCCCAGACCTTGGGGACTGAGCATGTGAAATCATCCTCTTTCTTGCATCATGTGTGTCCACATTGCCCCCCAACCCCCATACCCCTGCCTCAAGCCCAGTCACCATGGCCAGATGGTGAAACCTGAGCTCCAGGGGGGGAACTTCACCCTCCACAGGGGCCTGATGGGCAGCACAGCTGGCCAATCCTGGGGCTCAGAAGGTAGGCCTGCTGACTGACCACTAGGTAAGGGAACCCTAGGCAGCTGGTTCTAAAGAAGCCCCAGTTCAGTAGCCAGACAAGAGCGGTGAGGGTCAGACACAGCCACCCATCGGACGATCCACTTGCAGCCTCCCTGAGTCCCAGGCAATAGAAGACAAGTGGCTCTACCCTTGGCCAAGGGTAGGTGTGGCACTGGTGTCTGCTGCGGCCGTGCCCTCATTGGCCCGCATGCAATCAGACTCAACAGACAAGCAACTGCGATCCAAGGCTCCCACCCCGGGGCTGTCCACCAGCAGCATGAGGCGCCCTAACGTGCAGCTTTGGCTGGTGCTGCTGTGGGCACTGATGTGGGCACAGGGGGCCGGGTCTGTGTGTCCCTCCTGTGGGGGCCCAGCTCTGGAAGAACGAGCTCTGCTCTTGGAGATAGCTAAGCAGCAAATCCTGGAGGGGCTGCACCTGACCAGCCGTCCCAGAATAACTCATCCTCCACCCCAGGCAGCACTGACCAGAGCCCTGCGGAGACTACAGCCAGGGGGCATGGCTCCGGGGAATGGGCAGGAGGTCATCAGCTTTGCTACCATCACAGGTGCGTGAGGGAGAAAGGCAGAGTGGGCAGAGAGAGAGGCAGAAGGGGAGGCTGGTAGAAGAGGCAGAGGGAGAGAGGCATGGCAGAAAAAGGCAGAGTTGGGGCAAGGATTGGGGTGGAGGACACAAGGTTATCCCTTCTTTTTCTTTTTCTTTTATATTCTTTTAAAATTTTTGCTATAGGATATGTGTATTCACCAGAAACAGAGAGAAAGAGAGAGAGAGAAAGTGAGAAAGCACCTCCCAGAGGGAATGACTGTGCTGTGATCCCTTCTCTTTCATACTCTCAGGATTTGGGACACACATGCACATGCACCCGGCATGTTTTTCTTTTGCTTTTAGGGCATGTGATGTGCCCTCACCAGAGAGACAGAGAGAGACACAGATAGAAAGCGAGAAATCATACCCTAGGGGATGACCACGCTGCAATCCCTTCTCCTCCATTCTCCTCTCCGGATCTTGGGG